GTTGAGCGCGCTAATGAGCCCGTGTTGACAACGTTACCTGATCGAAGCATATATGTAGGGCCGCACCGGTACCATTCATACGATTTGTAGGAGTCATCATGGGTTGGATTCAAATCATGCGATACCACCTCCCTCTGATACTCGCAGCCAGCAAGAGTTTCAATTTATTTAGCGACCGCTTTCGATAAACATACATACGATCGGTATCATTTGGAGGGACTAATGTACGAACACAAAGGGTAATGATCAAAGTTACACAGGGAAGGATGGCCGAGCAATCTCGAAGCATCCCTAGTAGAATAGAGGTATTGGTAAGAAAGAAAGTCACAAGGTACAAGCGCGTACACGAGACCGGAAAGGAGGGTAAAGGTCACAACAAAGGCTAGGCTCGCCTCGCTGCGCGAGCACGGTCCTCTAGAACCCTAAAGATCGTATCATCCGAGCGTCACCGTTCCGTGGCAGATTTCTACATTGGAAGCAGAGAACCGGATGCTTTCTCGGAAGCAGGAATAAAGAATGGGGGCATACATTGCACTCTAGCAGCGCAGGGGGAGTGGTGTTCATCATTACCTCACGCCTTCGCGGCCTTCACCACGCCCTTGACTTTCTTGATCAAGCTGGTCTTCCTGCCGAGAGTACCGCCAGCCGACCCGGCTACGGTCCCATCAAAGTATCCAGTACCATTTTCGCCCGTGGTGGTGTAACCATCTCTGCCGACAGGTGTCGCAGGCAGAGATTTCTCCTTATTGATAGGCATCTGGATCGGGTCTTCCACATACACATAGCCGGTATCGTCTGAGGCAGGACCGTCCCTCCGTACGGCGATATTAGCAGCACGCCCAAATCGCCCAAGGAACGAGTTCTGCGGACGGTGCGTAGGCCGCGTGGTATGCGCGTTTGAAGTGGAGTGTGTCGCGGCGGAGTTCTCGGCGGAGGATGTTGGTGATGGGTCGCGGTTACGGGTATCGTCATCTGAACCCATGGGAACGTTTGGCGAGTCTCGCATTTTGCGAATGCGGCGGATGATGGACTTGGTGCGCCTGGGGGTTCCGTTCGGCGAAGGAGGTTCTGTGGACGAAGCCACTTCCCCCTCCGCCTCCGGCACAAAAATTGGCTGGGGAGGAGGAAGCGCACCGCGAGCGGAAGTCTGACGGCGGACAGGCGCGGGACGAGCGTCGTCCGATTGTTCCCGATAACGAGGGTTTCGGTCCTGGGGCCTCTTCACAGTCCCGTTGCGGGATGAGGAGTGACTGTCGCCTCCGAATCTAGAGTGCCCACCGCCGGCCGAAAAATCTTCAAAGGGCTCTGGCTCATGGATACCCCAAGCTTCGGCAATAGCATCATATTTCTTCTTGGGGGCCTCGTAGGGCACGTAAACGTCATGAGAAGGGTAGGGGGATTCGTATGCGCGAGGGATCTCTTGAGCACTAGCAAGAGCTACCTTGTCAGCATCGGTGACTGCGCTCCAGGCCATCATGGGCGCTTTGGTCTTATGGCGATTGCGAGAGGGAGCGCAGGCATCGAAGGGCCCATCGTGATGAAACACTACGAAGCCGACGTCAGCGTCTGTCTTATCGCAGCGAGCAAATTGTGCATACTGGGACCAACACCAGAGAAATCTAGCCTATCGATAACATCTGCATGCGATGACCCCTTCTTCCCCATGCGCGGACGTCCGCTGGACTTGTTTTTGTCCATGGCGTTGGTGGTGTTGATGCCAGAGTCCTGGGAGTGAGAACGCCGAGACGCGGTGGAGGGTCTTGAGCCGGAATGGCTGCTATAAAATGGATAGTGATAAGGGGGAGAGGGCGGCTCAGAAAATGAGGCAGTAGAGGGGAGGAGATGGACGTACGGAGGAAGCTCTGTATTGCTCCTGCCGATTCTGGCACGGGGAGCCTGGTCGGAGGACCGCACTTGTACAGCCTCACGGACGGCCTCGGTCACTTGGTCGCGGTTCATAGAGGATGGA